GAAGAAAGAAGACAAGGAATGGATCTCGACGGATACCTGGAAGCTGATAGAGGAGAGGAGGATGGTGAAGCAGAAGATAAACCAGTGCAAGGATGCTCAACGACAAGAGGAACTGAGCACAATGTATAAAACACTGGATAAAGAAGTGAAGAAGAGTGCACGCAAAGACAAAAGACACTTCTACGAACACTGGCAAGTGAAGCAGAACAGGCTGCAGGTAAGAGAGACCTGACGACATTGTATCAAATAACCAGGTTGCTATCAGGGAAGAGACCAACACAGATGAAACCAATAAAAGATGAAGAAGGAAATTTAATTACAAAAGAAGAGAAACAGAGGAAACGATGGGCCGACCACTTCAAGAAGCTCTTGAATCGACCACCACCTGCACTTCGTCCAGAAATACCACCTGCAGCCGCTGAATTACAAGTGAACATAAATCCCCCAACGAAAATGGAAGTCCTGAACGCCATAAAGCTACTGAAATGCGGGAAAGCAGCAGGACCAGATGGAATACCGCCAGAAGCACTGAGAACAGATGCAGAGACAACAGCGGACATGCTCACACCACTATTGCAGAAGGTGTGGAGGAAGAGAAGGTACCTGACGATTGGAAGAAGGGTTACCTTGTCAAACTGCCGAAGAAGGGAGACCTCAGTGCTTGCAAGAACTGGCGCGGAATCACTCTCCTATCCACCCCAAGTAAAATATTAAGCCGCATCATCCTGGAGAGGCTTAAAGACGCACTGGATTCAAAACTGCGACCGGAACAGGCAGGCTTCAGGAAGTACAAATCATGTGCTGACCAAATTGCAACGCTTCGTATCATCATAGAACAGAGCGTAGAATGGCAATCAGCTCTATACCTCAACTTCATCGACTTTGAGAAGGCCTTTGACAGCGTCGACCGAGAAGTAATTTGGAAACTGCTTCAATACTACGGAGTACCGCAAACCTTTATCCGCCTCATTCAACAACTATATGAAGATGCCACATGCCAAGTAATCCACAATGGGAAGCTCAGTGATGCCTTTGAAGTGAAGACAGGAGTGAAACAAGGTTGCCTACTATCCCCCATGATATTCCTTATTGTGGTGGACTGGATCATGCAGCAAACAGTAGGCAGCGAGAAGAGGGGGATACACTGGACGACGGAAAAGAACCTAGAAGACTTGGATTTCGCCGATGACTTATGCCTAATGTCACATAAACTTGAAGATCTGCAGGCAAAAACTAACAAGTTGACAGAAGAGGCAGCTAAGACGGGACTTCAGGTGAATATAGAGAAGACAGAAGTGATGAAGATACCGCACCACCACCATCAACAACAACAACAAACTCCAATCACCGTCAACGGGAGAAACTTGAAGGAAGTAACCTCCTTCACTTATCTAGGAAGCACTGTTTCAACTACAGGCGGGACGGACGAGGACGTCAAAGTCAGAATCGGAAAAGCAAGACAGGCGTTCATTAGCCTGAAACCAGTGTGGAGATCTTCTGCACTCAGCATGTGGAACAAGATACGGATTTTCAACACCAACGTCAAGTCAGTGCTCTTGTATGGCTCAGAGACTTGGCGCGTCACGAAAGGCATTTCCAATAAACTACAGACATTCATCAACAACTGCTTACGCTCGCTGCTGAAGATCAGATGGCCAGAAAAAATAAGCAACAAGGAACTCTGGGAACGAACCAACCAAGAACCTATCACGCAACAAATATGCAGGAAGAAGTGGAGATGGATTGGCATGCACTGAGAAGGCCGACTGAGGACATCACGCGTCAGGCCCTCGAGTGGAATCCCCATGGGAAGCGACGAGTTGGACGTCCGAGGGTGACATGGAGGAGGTCATGCGAGGAGGAAATGAGAGCTGTGGGCTGTCGTGGAACCAGGTTCAAAAGATCTCAGAGAACAGAGGTCACTGGAGGCGTGCTACTGAAGCCCTATGTTCCACTAGGAACCCAAGGGACTAATAATAATAATAATAAAACCATGTACAATAAAACAACAAAGTTCGTATATTTCAGATGATCTGATTCATCTGTTACATGAATGGATGAGGAATCAATCGAAAGCTCTTGAATAGAGTTAGCTATTATTATCATTTGTCCCTCGGATTCCTAGTAGAATATAGGGCTTCAGTAGCACGTCTCCATTCCATAAGCTTTCATTTCTCCCTTTCACCATCTCCTACATGTCACTCTCGGCTCGCATGCCCAACTTGTCGTTTCCCATTTGGCTTCCACTCGACGGCTTGGCCTAGCGCGTAATGTCTCCGAATAGCTTTCTCAGTGTATGCCTAGTCTAATCCATCCCCACTTCTCCATATTTGTTGCGCAATAGGTTCCTGGTTCGTTCGTTCCCAGAGTTCCTTGTTGCCCATTCTATCTGCCCATCTGAGCTTCAGCATCCAGCATAGGCAGCTGTTGATGAATGTCTGTAGTTTGTTGGAAATGCTTTCGTAAGGCGCCAAGTTTCTGAACTATATAGCAGCACTGACTTGACATTGGTGTTAAAAATTCGGATCTTCTTCACGATTTATGCTCAGTGCAGTGGAGTAGATCTCCACACTGATTATTTCAGATTGATGAAGGCCTGTCTTGCTGTCTTTCAGATCCTGGCTTTGACATCCTCATCTGTGCCTGTGCCGCGTGTAGTTGAAACGATGCTGCCTAGATACGTGAAAGAGACAACTTCCTTTAGGTTACTCCCGTTGGTGCTTGTCGTTGTTGTTGGTTGGGTATCTTCATCACCTCTGTCTTTTCTACATTCACTTGGAGTCCCATTTTCAATGCCTGTCCTCTCAACTTGCTAGTTTTTGCTTGTAGACCTTCGGGTTTGTGCGACAAGACATTAGACATAAATCTTCTAGGTTCTTTTCATCAGTCCAGCCAGCGTGTGCCCCTCTTCTCGCTCCTCACGGTTTGATGCATGATCCAGTAGACCATAATGAGGAAGATCATGGGTGATAGTAGGCGTTAGCCTTGTATTACTCCTGTCTTCGTTTCATTTCAAAGGCACAACTAAGCTTTCTTTCTATTGTAAATCACTTGGCATGTAGCATCATCACCATCATATAGCTGTTGAATGAGGCTCATAAAGGTTTATGGCACTAAAACCATAATGTTGAAGTAGCTGACAAATTACTTCTCGGTCGACGATGCCAAAGGCTTTTTCAAAACCAATCAAGTTGAGGTCAAGATCCGGTTGACTGCCATTCTACGTTCTGTTCTATGATGATGAGTAGTGTAGCGTGGCAATATGATCCCCACATGATTTCTTCCTCATGAAGCCAGCCAGCCAGCCACCCAGCCTGCACCGGTGTTAATTTTGAATGGAGAGAATTTTTAGTCTCTCCAGGATGATGCAGCTTAATATTTTGCTTGCTTTGGGTGGACAGGAGCATGATTCCGCGCCATTTCTTGCAAAGACCTAGGTCTCCTCTCTTTGGGAACTTGACAAGGTAGCCATCCTTCCAATCGGCAGGTAACTTTCTTTCTTTCTTTCCAAACCTTCTGCAGTGGTGGTGAGAGCGATCGAGTTAGCTACATATGGTTAGTAAAATATAACCAAAGACACTTATTCATATGGGGATATAGAGAGAAAAGATTAGTGTGGATATGGATCAATCAAAACGCAGTTTATGCTATGACACTTACAGTAAGTAGATAGACAGAAAGACAGACGATGAATCAGCCAATCAATAGGATTATTTGAAACAGCGAACTATCTACATATTAGACATATTTTCCTTTGGCTTTGGTTACCAGTCTTTTCGCCAGCAATACACGTTTCTACACGTCCATCGTGTCTCTCCATTAATCAGTCTGAGTGGGAATCAACTAGGAATTTTTCAAGTTGGCACTCATCACGGACTGATATCAGTTGAAGGCATATGGGAAATATTGGAGCTTTGGACAGCTGTTTCGTCCTAGTATGCAACTCCTCAGTAGTGCGCACCCATGACCCTGGGGTTCCGTAGCCAGGTCGTTACCATGAAGTCACCGGGTGGGAATTCAGTGGTCCATATTCCCAACTTCTGTCAGTTCACGATATAGCGCGACCATCACCCAATGTCACTGTTGATTATTTGTCCTCACGGCCACCATTGCTCACGACTAGGATGAAACAGTTGCACTTCAGTGCCCTCAGGTTTCCAATGTTCCTCCAACTGATGTCAGTTCATGATGAATACAAACTTGAAAAATCCCTTAATCCCCAAAAACTCCCCAAATTCAACTAAGAATTTGTTTATACTGGGTACGATTGGAGGTCAGATGAAAATCTGAACCGCGGCCGGATTCGAACCAGAGCTCACCGGGTTACCAGCCCGGTGCTCTATCAACTGACCTACGAGGTCCGACTGCTGACCAGAATTTTATTTCACTTCAATCACCAGGGTTTTTGCCCGACTACCATGAGAATTCGTGACACGTTACTACCACTTGATCATGTTCACACTGACTGTCTAGTCAGGACTTCTCATCCCTACCCAAACCTAACTGAATCAGAGAGGAGGAGCATCATATCGATTATCATTTGACTATCTGAGATAGCCATAGTTTAGCAGACTAGTATTTATACTGGTTGATGGGGTGAGAAGTCCTAACTAAGCAGTCAGTGTGAATACGATCAAGTGGTAGCAACGCGTCAGCAGTCGGACCTCGTAGCTCAGTTGATAAAGCACCGGGACGGTAACCCGATGACTTCTGATTCGAGTCCGGCCGCGGTCCAGATTTTCATCTCACCTTCAATCATCATCCAGTATAAATACTAGTCTGACAAACTACAGCTATCTCAGATAGTCAAATAGTAAGAATTTGTTGTATGTTTTTGACTAACACTCGATAGCCATGCATCAGTAGCAGCTATATCACATAGCAGTCTTCGAAGCATAACCACTTATCTGAGATTTAAATTTCTCACTTTTCGGTTGATATAATAACACTAAATAATTATTCTGATAGGATTAGATACCAATAAATTATTTTTCTTTTACCTCCATCAAAGAATTGTCCATCAATAAACTCTTGTACACCATCTTTATCGAATGTAATTCCAATTAGCTTAATATTGCGAGCATCCAGTGCAGGTTTTAATTGACTTAAATTTTTCGCTTCTAATCGACAAAATTTGCATCCCATTCGACGAAAAAATGTGATAATACATGTTTGATCCTAGATGTATAATCAGAAGAATATAACCAAACACATTTTATATACAATAAAACAACAACTGATAAGAATGTCCAGAGTAATGATGAAAGGTTCCTCCCACAAGGGAGAGTGCAATATCGCTATCATAATAGTTAAAAATCAACCAATAAATATCTAGTCCTACAATCAGTGAAATTAGTTAATAACAAAACGAATAAATGAAACACACAATGATCCATACCCTAGTAATACCACCTGACTAATCAAACCTTGGTACATGGAGTGGGGCAGGAACCTATGACCCTAACGTACAAAACTTTATCAAATTAGTAATAAAGTTTTGATACATTGGATATTCACATTTAGATGTTTACAAAAAGACTGATTAAGCGAAGAAATTTATACTCCTTTTCAACTAGATCTTCATTTTGGGCTCTATACTAATATGCATAGGTTCCCAATTTAATCAAATTACCAATCAGTTGGTGGTGATGTATCAGAAATAATGATGTAAATAATCAATAGAGTTACTATAAAGGAAGAGTGCGCCATCATCCGTAATCTGCTTAGTAGGAATGGCTATCCATACAACTTTGTAACTAAGCTCATGAATATTACCAGGGTTAAGACAACAATGCCAACAGTTCCTAAGAAGCAAATCTTCTTGAAGCTGGAATTCAACAATGACATTACCAATGAGATCATCACACAACACATAAAAAGAGTCTTGCATAAGGCATTCATAGTCGCTAAATTATGTCCTACCTTCTACAACCGCCCGATTCTAGGTGCAAGAAATAAAGACAAACTGTCTGATTCCGCCACTTCTATGTACCTTTATCAATTCAACTGCTCCTGTGGAGCTAGTTACATTGGGCGTACAGTTCCATCGTCGAATTTCTGAGCACCATCCATCATGGTTGAACAAGGCACAAATTAGAACTATAAAGAGCTCCATACTTGCACACTTAGTTGACACAGGACATCAAATGGTTACTGGAAAAGCCTTCAAAATCATCCATTAGATTCCAATTAATTTACCTCATGGATTACGCACTCGGTTACTTCATATAGGAGGGGTGATTCCAACCCACCTTTACAAATCTAGCCTTTGTATCCAAAAGAAGTTTGTTCGACCACTTTCATTACCGTGGCCGTCAACATGATGTAACTTCGAGGTTTACTTTGCACATATCTTCCCCTTCCACTTGTTTCTATCAATATTCATATTTCCTATTTTAGTAACTCGATTGATTATTTACATCATTATTTCTGATACATCACCACCAACTGATTGGTAATTTCATTAAATTGGGAACCTATGCATATTAGTATAGAGCCCAAAATGAAGACCTAATTGAAAAGGAATATACATTTCTTCGCTCAATCAGTCTTTTTAACAAAGTTTTGTTTGTCAAGTCGGTGGGTTTGGTGGTGGTTCAATATGTGTTGGATAGTTTAGAGCAGGCAACAACACCAGAAAGTTAGCTTTCTGTCAAGAGTTCACGCTTATCGGTACTCATTACACCGGTAATCTAATGATTTTTCTCAGCATAACCCTCGAAACATCCAAATGCTGTCTGTGATAACAAAAAGCTTGGTCTTACAGAGATGTATACGTCTACCTGAATAGTTGAGTAGCTACCTATGTAAATGACTGAAACGTGTCGAAAAGACCCCAATTAGTTCAATAAAACACCTACAATTATCAGCAGACGTCAAAATAAGAAGTTGTTTACAATTGCAGACGTTTGTGTCATTCGAATTGTCAAACGAAACCGCATTCAGAACGAAATGGTAGTCAGCTTGAATCTACCATGGTAAGGATCGCAACATCGTCAAAGCATTTTTACTCTTCCTTACTTGGTGTTTGCCTTCAATTATCACCCCTATCTTCGCGCTCCTGATTTACTTCGCCTAACTAACCTTATTCCTGTTATCATTGTTCTCATTAGTATTGAACTGAATGCACACTCAGTGTTTTGCATGACTACTTCAACAAGAAAAAATTATTCATTTATATGTTGGTACACCTAAGTCGATGTCTCAGTCTACGTTGAATATGTAATGTATGTAGTGTAAGCAGTTGATGAGCGATACTAAAATTTATGAACGCCATAAATCCTCTTCTCTTCATATTCATGGTTTGTTTCAAATGTGTATTGGAAAACAAATGTCCACTTGTCCAATGGACTGAGGGTGGTATGGTGGTGATACAACACGTCGTATGGCGGGCCAACGAAAGAAGTCTTTAAATTCCATAGAGGTAAACTGGGGATAGTTGTCCGAGACGATAGCTTCTGGAAGGTCGTGGCAACAAAAGATTGTGGAGAGGGTTTCTAATGTTCTCATGGTATTCGGGGGATTGACAAGTGCGATTTCTGGCCATTTTGAGTAGGCATCCACCAAAATAAGGTAGTAATTTCTATTAATGGGTCCGGCAAAATCAACATGAACCATCGACCATGGGCGTTCGGGATTTGGCCAGGGCCTGGGTAATAGTCGTGGAGGATGCTTTGACGTTTGTTGACATTCTGAGCACCGGTTGACATAGTCTGTAATTTTTTGATCCATCCGCGAGCGATTGACTCCATCCGTTCGATAACAAGGTGACCCGGATGAAATAGATTTAGGATTTGGTCACGAAGAAACATAGGGACAATGACCTAGTTTCCAAACATGAGGCAATCGTTGACAATACATGGGGAGTTTCGGCAATGATGTAAGAGTTGGAGATTATCTGTGATCGTTTCTTCCGGCCAACGGGTTAGAACAAGCTGGATTGCACACTGTAGTGTTTTGTCAAGGAGTTTAGCCGTCTTTATATCGTCTGCGGTAACTGGGAGCACTCTGATAGATGTGGTCAAGTCAAAAGCTGCGAAATCTTCTGTTGAAATTGTTGCAATAACGTTTTCTTCGTTGGCCGTAGGATGGCTACTTATAAGATATGACAAGGTGTCGACTTGACCAAACTCTTTGCTGCGTCGAAACTGAATGTTAACATCATATCCTAGTGACGTTAGGGCCCATCGTTGCAGACGATTTGCAGAGTGAACCGGAACACCAGATTTTGAACTAAAAACAGCCAGCAGCGGTTTATAGTCTGTAAGTAGCGTAAATTTGCAGTCATAGACCAGCTTATAGAAACGACGGACAGTGAAAAAAATGGCCAAGGCTTCTTTCTCAATTTGACTATATTTTCGTTCTGTGATAGACAGCGTTCGCGAAGCATGCATGATGGCTTTCTCTTTACCATCTGAGAAGATATGTAGGATTACAGCTCCAACTCCATGAGACGAAGCACCTGCAGCTATAACGATTGGCAACTGTGGGTCATAGTGGGTCAGCAAAATGTCGGATGATAACGTAGACTTCAGCTGACAGAAGGCTGATGCACATTCTTTGATCCATTGCCACGGAACGTCTTTACCCAGGAGGTGATTTAACGGCGTCTTCACAGCATGCAGTGAGGGTAAGCATGCTGAATAATAAGTAATCAATCCTAAAATGATCGTAGAGAGGGATATCAGTTGGTTCTGGCATTTACTGTATGACGCGAATATTTCCTAGGTCAGGTCGGCAACCGGAAGCATCAAAGATAAATCCCAGATATTTGACTGAATGTAGGTTGAATTGACATTTTTCGTGATGAAGACGGAAACCGTTATCTTCTTTTCGTTTCAGCACCTGAGCCAGTTGATTTCGTAGCTATTCTGAGGAGGCTGCAACAATGAGAATATCATCCAAATACGCAGCTACCCCGGGTATACCAGATAACATGGTGTCTATTATTTGTTGAAAAAGTGCTGGAGCTGTTTTAATTCCAAATGGAAGGCGGTTGTACTGGTATAATCCAGGATATGTGTTGATCGTTAATAATTCTCGGCATTCTGGTGCCACCTCGATTTGTAGATATCAGTCAGCCAGGTCAAATTTTTCGAAGCATGTACAGCTATTGAGAACAGCAAAATTACTCTCCCATGCTGGAAGTGGATAGTGATGCTGTTCTAGTACTGCATTGTCCCGTAGAAAAATCTGCACATATTTGAATAGAGCCATTTAGCTTTCTGATAACCACAATAGGATCCGTCTATGCAGAATAAGAAACTGGTGTGAGAACACCTTGTTTTTCCAGATGGGACGTTTCTGAGCCGATTTGCGGTAATGGATACGTAAGACACGAACCTCTTCGGCCAGAAAACAGATTTGGCATCGCCTGGAAGGTGGAAGAAAACTCGGGACATTGTACAGCGACCGAGGCCAGGTTTGAATACATTTGGAAAACGTTGATCTGACCGCAAACAGTGCGTAGAGGCATATCCGAAAGACCAGTCGAGACCCAGGAGGTTTAAATCAGCGTCAGATAGGTAACAAATTTCATTTCGTGAGGAGATACAATACACGATAACTGACCTGTTAATGATAATCGGCCACCGCATGCGCTAATAGCAGTTTGTACGGTCTTCTGGATAGGAGGTCGGCTAATCTTCCACCATAGCTTCTTCGAAATGATCGTAATATCAGAAGCTGTGTCGATTTGTAGTCTTACTGGATGGTTATTTATCTGGACGGTGATATATTTTCTCCGTGGTGGTGCATGTGCTTGAAAAGCAGCGGTAAGGCTAAGAGATTTGCAGCCTGTTCGAGACTTCGAACTTGGAGGGGTGACTGGATGGTGACCTGCCCGTTTTTTGTGATGGGTGCTGCTTGCAAATCCGTCCTTGTGACCCACAGTATTACAATCTCTGCATTTATTCTGCTTATAAGAATAAGATTTGACGAAATGCTATGCGCTACAATGCCAGCAGTGGGATGGAGGGGTCTTCTTCGTGTTTCTTTTGGTATTGTATGAGCTGTTGGGATGACGAACAGGAGACGAAGAACCAGGGGTCTTTCGGCCAGAAAAGGATGCAGAGGAATTCGATGTCTGGCTAATCCCATGCACTTCATGATCACCCTGGCGTTCGGATTGGACTAAACTTGTATCCCGTTGCGGGTTGATCAATCGTTGATATTCAGCA